AAGATGAACAGTGAAGACGGACAAGTTTACTCTGTTTGTAAACTGCAATTTTCTTGGTTTACTAAGTACAACCGTATGCAGCCAAAACATAAACAAACAAATTGTGAACATAGCAGACGAAACTCTTACAGATTACAGCTTTCTCAGTAGGTATCACTATAAAACGATTTCGAATTCGTCACTGAATTCCCATGTTTATTGGGACACCCTGTACGATCACGACAAAACTTAAATGTCATTATTTTTAAGCTTTTCGACAATTAAACTCCTTTCCCGAACCAAACTTTTTCGTAAATCTACGAAAAATAGATTATTTTGTGCTTTCAGTCCATAAAACAAATATATGGACTGGATTCCCACTGGAATTTTGTACATAAGCTTTAATATATATATAATGTATATTTTTATTAGTAAATAATGAATGTTTTAATCTGTTTCAGAGTGAACCGTATACCCTCAGCTTGAGTTATTATTCATGAAAAGAAGTCTGAGTAAGATGTTGACGGCGTTTCAGTCGCCCTTACACAGATCATGACTAGATAGAATACTAGATTTAGTATTCAAATATTTCGTGGTTTAACAACTCTATAATTGGAGGATAACGTGAAATTACGCATGTATTCCATTTAAGTATAATATATATATATATATTTATATATATTTCATCATATAATAAAAAATACTTTAGTATCTCACTTTTGCTCTTTACTAAAAAAGTTTCATTAAAAAAAGCTTTGATCAATACTGCCTTCAATGTAAATAAATATTTGATATCATTATTTATAATACAATATGCATCAATCCTATGAAATTTAGATATATTTTTAAGAAACGTTTCCATCTCTATTTTTTACCTCTTGAAGCTTACACCACATCATTAAGATGGAGTGTCTGATGAGTCCACTTAAGACATTACATAAATAATTTATTAACACTTGTAATATGGAAGTGTGTATATGGTCGAATAGTTTACCTGAACATAGTTATAATAGGTATCAATAGTGCCCCCCCCCTACACAAATGCTCTTGCACACCCCTGCTTTGAAGCATTGCAAGTCGCAGTTCCTTTGCCTTTGATTTACCCCACTTACTAGGTTATAGTTTTTGAAGCCTAGACATGTTTTTTTAGAACTATTTATATTTTATTTAAAAGAAGTACTCGACAAAATTCTCATCAAATTTTTTGCATGAGACCTTGCAACCTATGGATCAGTTTGATGGGTAGTGTTTGATTCAAATCAAAAATATCAAATAATTGTGTTGAAATACGGAGGGCATAAATGATTATCACGTGTATCGTGCGTTCATTTTGCATGAACAGTCCCATGAAAGGAATTAGATTAAGAGTTTGTTTGTGTTATGCTACGCCCGAGACGTTGCTTAATTGTTACACAATGACGCTAATTTTTGACCTTTGCATTATTCCGAAAATACGCATATTATTAGAAATATTTTGAAATCTGTCCAGCGTGAAATATGAAATTATATTGTTCAGGATGCGCCATGGAACGCAAGTTAGCACGGTGTGACAAAGGTCGCATGTCTTCTCTCTCTCATCAGATAATTTGCTAGAAACGGTATTTTTACCAGATTTTCGTGATTTCGTTTTAATTCATTAAACCCTAAACAGAATGGGGGGGCACCCCGCGACCGGCGGATTTCCCAACGCTCTAGCACCCTCATACGTGAATTTATCCGGCTGGCAAGCACATTTTTGGAACGGGAAAGAGCCTGCCTATCTGGTCCTCGAATTTTGCCAAGATCCGACAACTTTGAAAATTCGAAAATTTTCATAAGTCCAGATTTTTGCACCCCAGGACTGGCATCAAATGCATACATTAAGGGGCGGTATAAAGTCCGGTCCGGGTTAAAAAATTCTAAAATAACCCATAACTTTTTTGTGACTTAAGCTACAGATTAAAAAAAAATACATTTTTAAAAAGCCGTTGAAAAATGGAAGAACGTAGAAACATGTGTCATAACTTGATATTCATCTAAAACAAAACAAAAATATTGTTACATTTTTCCAATCTTTTTCTTAAATTTTGTTCAACCCTCCCAAGCACCCAAACTATTAAAGTTAGCCTTCTAATTTTCCTCAATGATATGGCCTTGAAAACTTGGGTTTTTTCCTAATCGGACCCTAATTTATGAAGGACCTTACATGACCCTAAGGAAGGTTAAGGCTGGTAGAAAGTAAAAATATTTCCCCCTGGTGATTTTAAGAACATTCCCGTGTTTCTGCCGAGTTACCATTATCAAAATTTTGGGCAAATCTGTCCAGGGGTTTCTAAGTTATGATCGCAGAAAAGAAAGGGGCTTAAAGCAAAGTAAATAACTTTGAAAACTTTGGTTTATATTTATAAATCCATCTTGAAGATGGTTCAGGATTGAAGAGTTAAGTAGGTGAGCATATCCTTCTAACCCAATAATATTATCTGGGATGAGAAGAGATTTGTTTGTCAGGTTTAGGTTCGGAGAAACACGCTAATTTAACAATTTATCTTCTTTACGTAGAAAAAAGTTTTCTATCCAATACACCGACATAATATCTCTACTCTGTTCTTGTCTACTCACTCTCCTTTATTCTCAAGCTACGTCATGTTTTTTAATACGTTTTTGCAGCTTTTTGTAAATTTGTATATTTTTAATTATTTTGCGTTTAAAATCCAATTAGCAAATACTAAATGCAAAAAATATGTATCTATTCTCTATTTAAAGAAGAATAAATCTTGATAGTTTCATTATTTTCAACTAAGCCCACTCAAACGTCAGTCATTGTTTCAATATGTTTACAATGAGACCAATAAACCTGTGAAATAGGAAGACGACATTTAATTTATCTGATATGAACTTCATGTTGTTTCAGAAGAATATAGTTTTAATAAATAGCTTGAAAATCAATATATTTATTTGAAATCGATAAAAATTGATGATGCATAAAATAGAAGTCAAAGATTAAAAATTTTCTTTTTGTAAGTGTCTCCCTTAAAACAGTGGAAAGGGGTTTGTGTACACTGTATATAATGCACAATTGCTGTATTTATTGGACTAATTGAAATCATGACTTGAGTCTAACCGTCGTCTTCCAATTTTACAGTTTTATGGGTCTCACTGCAGTTTTCTTTAAAATATTGTGTTATCCGGATACCACAATTTAGTTTTAAATTTCAAGATCGAGGTTGCGCGATGAATTTTCTTTTTTTTATTCTATTAGTTTAGACATTTTAGCCTAAAATGATATAGCTGTTGTTTTAAATAGTGTTACAAAATAATTGTTCTTCAGCTGATTTACAGAATTAAAGGGTGTCCAACGAAGCTCCTATCGTATTATTTTTTAGTCCTCAAACTAAGGATTATTGAAAAAAAATGCTTAAGATTGACAAAATATTTTTTCCGGAAAAAAATTTCGAATTTTGCGATTTCTGG